TGTTTTTATAATATTTACATTCCTGCATGGAAAACCCAACTGACCGAGAGGGCAGGGAAAATCCTACCAATGCTTTGAAAAGATTATATTTCTTTGTGGTCCTGCTTTTCCTTTGTACATGAAGGTTTCCAAAAACAGTTTGCCTAGTATGAGCCGACTCATTGAGTATTTTCAGTTTTTCAATGAAAAGAAAAACTCCCTGCTTTAGCCCCTACCACCATTTGCAGCTTTACAAGAACACTGTGTCGCTTGCCTCTGCCACTGGGATTTCAAAGAAGTCACAACACTTCACCTTTATGCTGGGCTAAACTCAGGGTAGCCATAAACACTCTGAAGTAATACAAACCTAAATATTCCTGCTAGGCAAACGGAGCAGAGGAACCGAATTATAATGAGCTAGCAGCTGTCACAATATGACCACAGTAACCAAATCAAAATATCAACCGCTAACCCAGATGAGATTCAAAGGTCAGCCTATAAGCCAGCAGCTTTCTTCAGTTCTGCCTGAAACCTCAGTCTAATCCTGCAGTAAAATGTTCCACTGAGCTAGTTGAGAAACCAGTTACTCTATGGCACTGAATTATTTAGTGCCCCGGTGCAGCACTGTCAGGAGCACAAGAACCAAACGCCCCAGTAAGGACACAGAGCCACTCACAATGGCGCATGTGAAGACGCGGCAGCTGATGCTGAACTAAGCTGCACCCAACTGTACAAAAGTATCACTTTCCACATCCTTCAGTCACCAATTCATGGAGATAATCTTACTGGGCAACATGCTCACTTATCCTCAATCTGGTTTTCAATTAAGGCTCTGGAACAATGGAAGGAAAATACATGCTTAGATCCCTCCTTGGATCAAAAAGTTTTGAGTTTGAAAATGTATTGTCTATCATTGTAAAACTATTTGAACAATAACTTGCAAAAGTTTAGTGCCGGACAAAACGAAAAACAAAGCATGTTTTTAAAAAAATCCATATTCTTTGTATATACTTCTTGCCAGGGTTTTCCAAGTATTCTATCGCGTACAAATAATCCTCTTAAAGACACAGGACTCAGACTCATGACCCCTCTGCCCGATTAGCATATTCTGAAAGCTACCCAACTGACCACCTGTGAAGGTTTAATGAGACCATTTTAAAAGTGTAGTGAACAAATTTCCGACAGATCTAGTGTTATAATTAATAATCACAACCAGGCACCAGGAAGAAGTGACTTATTGTATCCAGGTACAAAACAGCACAGGGAATTCCATCTAAGGCAAAATGCAGACTGGTTTGCATCTACTCAATGCATGCAATGAGTAAGCACTAGTAAATATTAGGTGAGCATAGCATATGAACTGGTAATGCAGGTGGTCAGTTTTGTGGTCTGAACCCTTCGAACATCAAAAACAAAAAGCCACTCATGCCTACTCTTTTTAAAATTGGAATCTTGCTTTTTGTTTATTTTCACTACATTTTTCTTTAATATCAACCCACTAAAACTTTGTGATAACCACAATCACAAACTGATGTAAAAAGTAAAAACAACCTTATAACCCAAGAACTGTCATGAATTCTTCTAGCATAAAAAGCACATGTGTCTCAGTGTGCACACACACACATAAGTACAAATGTGTTCATTTATTTTATTTTAGAGATTCACAAACTATGAAATAAGATATTATTTTCAGACTGCCTTCTTTTGGTGCAAGGAAAGTGTCCACAAAGGTCATATAACATATAATGTGAGCCTGAACACAAAAATATACTTCTAAAAGAATATATTAACAATTATTCTAACACCATTATCAGTTATATCCCATTTTGTATAAATCTGAGATAGAGATACAGAGTTTTGGTATTTTAATGCTGAACAAATGTATTTTTTTTCAACAACTGTAATATTTACTTAAAACCACTCATGTGAAATCTAAAAGTTCAGAGTTGTAATCAAAGGTTTTGTGACCATTGAGGAGTTCATGGGCATATTTGTTAGCAATGCCTACTTCACTTCCCTAAAATAGTGTATTGTCATAAAGAATAAAATATTTTAAATATATAATAAAATTCATCCCCCCAAGTAGAAAGTGGTGTAGTACATTTTCTCTGCTTTCAGTAAAATATAACCTTACAAAGTAAACAGTTTATCCTCTCCCCGCAAAAAAAAAAAAAAAAAAATCAGGTCATCTGCAGTTAATAACTCTTTCCTGTAAAATTAGTGTCACTTATTTCTGTAGCAGACGCCTAATTCAGTCACAGGCTTGATTGATTTGACAATAGAGAATCTGCTCCAATAAAGTGGCTGATTTATTTCTGATGCTATAGCTTTTACCCTAATGTGACATCATGGAGTAATTGAGTCTCTGAAATGTAAAGAAATCCTTTGTAGTTTTAATGAAAACCAGTTAGATCCTGAGAGTGGACTGTTGTCTAAAACTTGCAGTAAAGTCTAATACCGCCTTCTTTTGGTACAAGGAAAATGTCCACAAAGGTCAAATAACATATAATAGGAGCTTGCACACAAAAAACAGTTTAGAATACAACATATATTTTATAAGTTCCAACTGTTCCCTAAAGAGCTTACTTTGTCTTTCTTATGAATTGGTTGTCCTTAATTTCTTAAAAATGACATATGTCTTTTTCTTGTAAAGGTGCAACCTTCCACGAAAAACGACTCATCTTAAAAGTGGTTTCATTTTAAATAAACAGCCGCCTGGGCAAAATCAATGAGAATCTTTGTTCCTAAAGTCTGGCCCTGAGACACCCAAGGCAACCAAAAAGGCTTTGCAATGAGAGAAATTAGAGGTGAGAAGAGTTTTTCATACAGTATCCTCTTCGTTCTCTAAAAATATTTTTTTAATTCTTGTCTCAACTAAAAATGTCAGGTATTTCATACTTGTCTCAAAGTCTTTCTTTCTCTTTTTCTTCTGCACACTGAGCAGTGCCCTCGCGCTCTAAGGGCGACTTCCCTGACCCAAGAGTGACACTGCCCCGTTAATGTCAGATAAACCATTTAGCCCCAGCACAATTCTTTTCTGTGCAAAAATCTGCTTGAGGTGGAAAATGTAGCAGTTTGTAAACAATAAAGAGCCATGTTTCAGACCAGACAGCTTATCTAACAGAGAAGTCCTTTCATTGGGAACAGTGGGTGGGAGCCTCGTGGACATAGTAGCATTTCCTATCACAATGCAGGAGACTGTCTTGGCCTCCATATTTAAGAGTTTAATGGGAAGGAAGGCAGACGGGATAAAAGGGCAAGGCTGACATGGATTTTCAGCTTAAACAACAACCAAGTGAAAAGAATCGGCTCTCTCCGCAGCACTGTGTCAGCCCACTTATATTTTAAATACTATTTGGTCTGAGAACTAATTTGGTTTGTAAAACAGTTGACCATGAGGAAAAACGTATGAAAATAATTCCTTAATATATTTTAATTAACTGGTATATTTTATAGTAGTAATTCCCCAAGCAGCTCTTGAAAGTTTTTCACATTTATAATGTAAACTTCTAAATAGGAATAGTAATTTATTCTAACTTACTTTAACTCATCAGAGGATAATTTTAGAAATCTTCTAAGGAAGTTAATATATTCTTTAGGTGCTATTCCTCAAGACTCAATTTCAGATGAATCTTTTATTCTATTTTGTGAAGTTGGGTGAGGATGAACAGAGAAGCAGAGACATAAGAATTAAAACTATTCTACTAACACTGAAGAGTCTCAAGTTGTCCTTTAAAATCTAGGCTGGCAAACATATCTATTATCTATCTCTACAGATCCTGAAAACAGGAAGGTTGATATGCCTCCCTATCAGCAACTACCACAGAACTAGGATCCTCCTTTAGTTACAAATTAAGACAGAAATCTGAAATCTACCATCTTGAAATTAAAAAAAAAAAAAAAAAGAATCAAACTTAACTTTATGGCACTCAAAGCTGGGGACACACACAAAGCGACAAACATACAAGTTGTCCATTCAAAATAATTCTATGCTAAATAGCTGATTTAATGATTTTTTTTTTTTTTTTAATGACTGAGATAGTCCTTGGACCATCCCCATGTTAAGGAACTGGCACAACTTCCAAGTTTTTAAAACTAGGACATTCTTTAGAACCATTTGGAAATACACCTTCAGAATGATCTAATTATTGCTGTGTCTTTCCTTTGGAGAACGGTCCAACAGCTTGTGTCATGAAATCTAACTTCATTTATTGACAGATTTGCAATAGAATTTGGGCAGGTTGAAAGATTCACTAACACTGTTAAGAACTCACATTAACTAGAACAAAGATCATTTCTTCAATCAAAACTGAAGTAGCCAGCTATTGGGACCTTTTAAGCCATTATGAATTATCTTTTCATCACTTAGGTTACTGCTGTTAAACAAACATCCCTACAGAGTAGTCAAAAGCAGAAAACTATGCTCAGGAAGCCAATATCAAGGGCAAGATAGAAATTCACAGATAGCCTCAAATTACAGGCAGGCATGTAGCTTGCTTTCAGTAATGCAGGATGGGGCCTGTCTAGACAACAAGCACTTATAGTTCACACCTTGATAAATACACAACAGCTTTTACAATTCCACTTGAACATCCTACCCTGATTTAAGCACACTAAGCCCATTGACATTATTTATTTCCATAACCCCAATAATAAAAATTCACACGTACTATATATCATTGCCAACCATCAGGCCCAATGACATTTTTATTAGAAGTATTCACCACTTTGATTTTATTGACCTTAACTGCAAAAACTACTATTGCAATATTGAAATTGGGCAAGTGCTGCATGTCGAAGAAAGACAAAATTTCCTCAGTGATTCAGCACCACTGAAATTGTTTAATCCTACATAGTTATAGAACTTAGTCATGGATGTACTATTAACCAGCACAGACTGTCAATATTGTTCTGCAACTAGAAATCCCAGTCAACCAGCAACCTCAGTCTGAGGCAGGTTTCTGCTACAGGGTTATACATAAGTGTTCAAAAAGTGCACAGTAATTTAAAACATGTCTTACTTTGTATTCTGGAATTGACAAAAGGTGGAGAGAGATTGTCATGTGACCCAAGGTCCCTGCTGGTCATGTGGTCATACGGAGTCCCATCTCCATAGTTCTGTAAATAAAATAAATAGTGTAGGTTTTAATTTCACATCAAGATTTCAGCACCTAAACCAGGCATGGTGGTTCAAGACTGTAATCCCAGTGGCTTGGGAGGCTGAGGCAGGACGATGGCAGGTTTAAAGCCAGCCTCAACAACTTAGTGAGACCCTGTCTCAAAATTTTAAAAAAAAAAAAAAAATTAAAATGGCTGGGGATGTGACTCAGTGGTTAAGTGCTCCTGAGTTTAAATCCCCAGTACCAAAAAAAGAAAGAAAGAAATCAACACATAAACATACTCATACTACTGCAATCTCCCACCCAAAGCAACTAGAGTACATTATTTCCTTGAACCTGGAACCTCACTGTAAGGAAGCTAACCTTCACAGAGACAGTAGGTAATAGAGGTCTAGAATCTACTCAACTAAATTTCCTAATAATAATAATGGCATCAACCACATGGAGTTGTTGACATGAAATAATGCATGTAAAACAGTAGACACATAGGAATTATACTACACATATTAAAAATTATTCCTTTGATAAGCTTATATTAAAGCAACATTGTGCCATAAGGGGAAGCTACCCACAGCCTGTAATGATTTGCTTTTGGAAGACCAGGGTAGAGGCATTTAAACAACAACATTTGGTTTTATGGTATTGAAGTTTCAGTGCTTTATTACAGTTGCCCTTGTGGTTTTAAGAGAATGGGTTCATTATATCAGTAATTAACACACAGGAATGTAAAGAATATTCGAACACAACTATAAACATCAAAGCTTTAGTGTAAACTAGTATGTCCAGAGTTCACCAAATACATCAGACACAAAAACAAAAAAAAAAATCAGTTTTAAGACAGAAAATTTGGGACACATATTTTTTATTATCATAATTATATCCTTGTTTGGGAATTTTAAGTTAAAATGATGTTTGTAAGTTTTCCAGTCATTCAAATCTTAATGGAGAAATCTGATAACGTCTAAGAGTTAAAATCATCTGTACTATAGGACTCAAACTGTAGTCTCTATATATAAAGTAGCTAAAGGGGGTGGTGGGGAAGGACTCTGCTCAGCTGGTTAAGCTGCCCATAAAGTCTAAGTCAAATTTACTTAGAGGTATCAGTTGGCGTGTGAGCCAAAGGGCAAGGTCTGCCCACACAGAAAAGATGGATGCTGTGTGAACAATGAAAAAGGCACATCGTCACCTTGCTGGAGAACGACTGGAACCCAGAGGACAAACAAGTCTGCTTCCAATCGCCTTTCTCCATTTGCAAAAATTAACTTGGATGCTGCAGTAACCTAATTCTGTCAATATGTCCACATATAAAAAGATGTCTCTTTTTACAAATACCTGTTGTGGGTTTTATAACCAGGCATTGTATAACACTAATTATTTATTAAGTGTCCTCATTCTAGACAGTGCCCGAGAAGCTTAATATGCATTATCTAATTTAATCCTCAGTGCAGTGCTGCAAGGAAGATAATATCACCAGTCAAAGACAGTAGGAGAGGGGCATGGTGAGGCTGTCTGGGCCCAAGTCTGCAAATTATCTATTTCATGCAAACTCCATGGTTTTGGAAAATATATATTATAATATACTGACTCAAAACTATTCTTGAATATATTCCTAAAGAAAACTGGCAGTTAGTAAACATCAAATTTAGATGAAAGTCAGAATGATTCTAAATGGACTTTTGTTGGCCAAACCCAAAGGACCGTGTGTATGAACTAAATGCGTATAGTAAGAAATAATGTATAACAATAACAAATATTTCTTATTTCTTACAAAGTCTGTTTGGTTCAATACACATAGCACTGTACTGAATTACAAGTAATATAATCGTATGTAAGAAAAAGAAATTGACTAGATCTGAATAAACTGAACAGGAGAGGGGAGCTCCATCATCTCTACTTGCTGTCAAAGGGAATGGATTTATTTCTGCAAGTGCAGACTGTAACATGAGGAGGAGGAAAGATTTCCTCAACCCATCCATATAATGTATTAGAATGTCAAGCTCGACAGCTGCTGTGAGGCTCAACAAAGTTTGTAGTAAGCTCAGAGATCCTGCTCTACCCTGAACACTAGCATGAGCTCCCAGGGCCAAGGACAGGTGGAAATGTGTAACTATGACTTGCTAAAATGTCCTCGTTTTGACAACTTGATGACCTCCCCTGCCTCTAATGCCAAAATAGAGATACCCTAGCTCCACTCCAAACTGATGTGAACACTTGCAGTAATAAATTCCCCTCAGGGGCTGGGGTTGTGGCTCACTGGTAGAGCGTTCACCTAGCATGTGCGAGGCCCTGGGTTCGATCCTCAGCACCACATAAAAACAAATAAAATAAAGGCCTTGTGTCCAACTACAACTAAAAAATAAATATTAAAAAAAGTTTCTCTCACTGCAAAATCTTTCACCTAGAGGCCCAGCTAGGGGAGGGAGATGTATATGCTTTAAAGTGTGCAACGAGTCTACTTTCAATCTGGAAGTGTGTATGTGTGTGTGTGTGTCTGTGTGTGTGTGTCTGTGTGTGTGTTATAAAATCTGACATGAGTTTTAAAGGCCTTAGGAAAAAGTCAGTGAAAGACATCACATCATTAAATTATTAGAAACACAGATGATATTCTGGTTCCAATGTTCCCTTTTACAAATTAGGGAAACGAGGACCAAAAAAAGTGAAATGGCATGCCCGAGGTCATATGCATACAAAAACCCAAAGGCATCACCCCCTACCCCACCCCATCCTGTGATCTTCCCCAATCACCCGAAAGGTACAACCAATGACGGTAAAAAGTCCATGAAAAAGGGCAGCAAAAATCTGAGACTAAATAAGTGAACGAATCCAACTGCTGAGCAAAGGCCCTGCTGCTGGAATGTGTACCCAGCATGACACGGAGCCAGACTCATGACACAGTCTGCTCTAGGAGGACAGGCCTTGGACGGTGTCTTCAAGACGATTCCAGAGTCTAGTCACACCAAGGTTATGGGGATATCAGGATTTTGCTTTCAGTTATTCTATCTTCAACAAATAATTTTCTAGAATATTAGATCAATAACTAGCAAAAGTAAGGAAAAGTATTTAATAAAGGCTTTTCCTTCTGGTGGGCACAAACAAAACAGGTGTAAATTCAGAAACGGTATCCAAAAAGAGACTTAAAAAAAACAAATTCCAAAGACAAGCTGATCCTCATTAATCTTGGTATGCATATATATCTGTGCAGGTGTGTATGTGTGTGTGTGTAGGTGTGCGTGTGCGCGCGTGTGTCAGCATGCATGTGAGAAACTCTCCTTCAGTTTTTCAATTTACATATGTGGGATGTCTGGTTGTGGGAGAAGAGATTAGATATACTTACCCTGGATGGGCTTGGATGTCCTCCATTCCCCCAGGACCCTGAGCTACTTCTGTCTTCTACATCTAGGGACAAGAGAAAAGTTCTTTAGGCTTTCTTGCAATAATTCTTTCTTTTTGTATATGCACTTTTAAATTAATGTTTCAAATTAATCTCCTGTTGCCTTTAATTAAGAACCAGGCACAGGGCTACCATGATGATAGTGGCTTCTGACCCATCTACTTAAATTAACTCATTTAAATTCACAGCAGAGATGAACTGGACCCTCAGGAACCAGAGGTATGCACAGAAAAATTACTTCCATCCTTCACAATGTTTGATAGCCTCGATTTTTATAGACACGAAACTGCACTTAAAGTTTTATTAAAATCTTTTCAACAAAATAAGTTTAAAAAATACACTAACATAACTTTAATCCAAAAGCGAAGCTAAATTGAGATATATATCCACACTAATGCTTACAGCTGTTAGTTTAACGCTGCTGAATTTTTTTTGTTCTCTAGTAAAGACTTATGGCACCAGACTACAGGCATGCAACAGAAAATAGAAGCAAAAAAAAAAAAAAAATGGACTAAGTAGTCAACTTCCACCAGTATAGAACAGAGATATGAGGATTTCTTTTTTCAAGTCATTTAGGTTGAGACAACATTTTCTCTTTTAATGGTTACTTTTTTTTTAAATTAGATGCATCACTTGGCCTATGATCCTCAGCATGGACTTTGAGATGTGGAAATGGAAGCTGTTATTAAATCACAAAAGCAAGATGGTGCAGTGGTGCGCACCTGTGATTCCAGCTACACAGTTGGCTGAGGCAAGAGGATTGCCACTTTAAGTCCAGCCTGGGCTACTTAGCAGGTCACTATCTCAAAACAAAGTAAAATAGATTGGAGATGCTGCTCAGAACAGAGTACTCCTGGACTCAACCTCCCATTACCAATAAATAAATAATTTTAAATAAACGGATAAGCGATATTTTATTTAGATAAATAATGGTAAAGAGAACCTACAGGAACTACCAGAAAGTTAAAATCCATTGAACTCTGCCCCAGTGAAGTTCTCAGGCTGATCAGATTCATAACTGTCCCATCAGTCCTTCCACTGGCAAACACTGGGAATGCAGGGTGACACAGCCCCGTTGTCATCCTCAGTCCTTAAAGTACTGCAGTGTAAGAGCAGTCACTCTCCATTTAGCAATGACTCAGATTTTTGATGAGAGGCTCACCGTGAGCCTGAAAAGTTCCCCTTCCCATGACTTTGATCACAGTCGTAACAGCCAGCCATCGCCAACAGGCCCTGACAGAGCTGGAGGGTGTGAAACTTGGGTCCAGGAAACACTGCTCTATTTATTGTGTTTCCTAACATTTCAGTGACATTGTTTTTTCTCTGAATGCTCTACTGTCATTCTTTTTATTACTGCTATTTTGTTATCAGCAGAAGTAATCACCGTATAATTAATTGATTTATTTTTGGGTACCGCAGAGTACATGGTGTTACAGAACGTCTTCAGAGAGATGGAACAGCAACTGACCTATTACCACTGGACCTGAATATTCTCCCTCCCCC